AAAAGGCCGAAAAAAAAAAAAAAAAAAAAAAAAAAAACTTGCATGGTGGAAAGAGTTATTGATGGACAGGCACGGGTATTAATATCACTCTCAAAAACTCATGCCTCTTCAAGGAGCTATGTGTTATTGTCATGCTTAGATTAATTAAGATAACTTAAGCAAAAAAAAAAAAAAACCTTCTCAAGAGACTGAACCCACTGATCCACCTTGGCATGTCTGAGACAGTCTGAAGGAAAACAAACAAGAGGCCTAAAATCCTTTGGTTTGCAGCCTTTATTTATTATAACAGATGCCAGTCAGTAAGTGTAGATTTCCTCTCAATAAGTGACTTTGCCATTTTTGGGTTTTCCCAGAGTAGGTATGAAACTCCAAGTCCACGATTTTCAACTGTGAATGAGATGCCTGAAAAGATTGTGTTTGTGGTGCAAACGATTTCACTTACGTGCTTTGTCAGGTCTGAAAATGTTTAAATGTGCTGTCCTTTCCAAATCTTGCGATCTCCATTTGCTGTTTTGATATCAGTAGATCAAACAGAATGAAATCATGAAAGGATGTGGCTTGCGTGTGTGCGCTTGAACACGGTTAACCTCTGCTTTGACGTCTCAAACATACAAACCGTGTCAGGGTGAGCATGTTTTATGATGACACATTAGTACACGCACACCCTTTTTTTTACCACACACACACACACACACACACACACACACACACACAGGTTTACTATCTTTGTATCTTCTCTATAGGCATAATGATTTTTATACTGTACAAACCGTGTATTCTACAGCCCTGCACCTAAACCTACCCCTCACAGACAACTTTATGCATTTCTACATTCTCAAAAATACTCATTCTATATGATTATAAGCTTGTTTCCCCACCAGGATATAAAAACAAGGTCACACACAAGTCAAGTCAAGTCACCTTTATTTATATAGCGCTTTTAACAATACAGATTTTGTCAAAGCAGCTTTACAGTATCAAATAGGAAATAGTGTGTCAATAATGTAAAATGACCATAGTAAACACTCAATTTTCAGTTTAAGGCAGTTCATCATTGAATTCAGTGATGTCATCGTCCAGCTCAGTTCAGTTTAAACAGTATCTGTGCAATCAAGTCGACAGTGTCGCTGGAAATTAAGTGTCCCCAACTAAGCAAGCCATGAGGCAACAGCGGCAAGGAACCAAAACTCCATCAGTGACAGAATGGAGAAAAAAACCTTGGGAGATACCAGGCTCAGTCAGGGGGCCAGTTCTCCTCTGGCCAGATGAATCAGGAGTTTGTTCCATGCTGCAGCAAAGTCAGATTGTGCAGAGGACTCAACTGGTTCCTGTGGTCTTGTCCCGATGGCCATCCAGGTGACGAGGGCTTCACTGGGGATCTGTCTCTGGGGCTCATCTACTGCAGTTGTCCTGGTCTCCACTGACATTCAGGGCTGTAGAGGTCATCTTTAGGTGCTGATCCACCATCTGGGCTGGATGCGGACTGGATCCGGGTGACTGCAGTGACCATCTGATCTGGATACCGACTGGATCTGGTGGCTACGGTGACCTCGGAATAAGAAAGAAAAAGACTAATATTAGCATAGATGCCATTCTTCTTACAATGTAACAAGTACATTGGGTGTTATGGGAAGTGTTCCCGGTTCCGGTTGACCTAATTAACGTAGCGTAACAATCCTTTAATCCTTTAACACACACACATACACATGCAGAAAGTAATTGCTGACTAATCAGAAAACTTATTGGCTTCTCTCAGCCAATGGAGTGAGTTTTGGACAGGCTAACTGTTAGTAGCAGAACAGGGAGTGTCTTGGAAACCTGTTTAGAAACAGTTAATTTTGCAGTTTGGTGGTGCTAATGATTACCTTTACTTTATGAATGTATGTTCTACTGTGTAAAATGTGACCGCTGTCTCAGCTTCTGAGGCTTTAGCTTTGTATTAATCACACATCAATTTCTCTAAAATCTTTGGTGTAGCCTATAGGCGTTAAACATCTGGTAAGGTCATAAAAAGATTATGGGTTCAGCTGATGAGTGAACTATACGAATAATCAGCATAGAGTCACTGTGAAAGGCTCTTGGAGAAAGGCACCAGAGGAATTGCTTTGGTAAGTAAATGAACTGTAATTCAATGAATTTGCTACATGAACAGACTTCTGACACAGAGCGCTTAGTTAAGCTAAGTTAACGCACACAACAAAGAAGGATAGTTCAATACACAGTCTTTAATAAATCCACAGGGAAACAACAGAGAAAATCCAACACAGCAAAGCAAAAGCAAATCCACATTAATAGCTGGCAACTTAAAGAACTGAATGGGCAGACTTTATACAAATGCAAGAAAGGAGCTAATGGCTATAACGAACTGAACACAGGTGAACTGAATAAGGCAATCAAGGGGAAACACAGGAAACTAGGTCAAAGGAACCGAAGGTGCGTTCACGCCATATCGGAATTCCCGAAATTACGAGATTCCAATTTATAAAAAGCATTCAAGTCCTCATAGAACTCGTAATTACAACTTGTTAACTGGGAGTTTTCTGAGAGCTACGACTTGTACCACGTGATCTCGGTACAACCTGACCACCGCAGGCTCTGTTTAGGCATTAATAGTGTTGCCATAGAAAAGCATAATTCAGAGTCCGAGGACGTGAACAGCTCTGAGTAGAATGTCACGTGTTGTCAACTCGAAATTACGGTAATTACGATATGGCGTGGACGCAGCATAACTAGGCAGGAGAACAGAAACAGAAGGAAACACAAAAGTCCATAACTGTGACAAATTCATCTTTGGCCATGCTGTTGTTTTAACATTTACTGATGTATTTGGTAAATAACAGATAATGTGATGTTAAACCATCTTCGATGTTTTCATCATATATGGTAAGGTAACTTACAGTTAACTAGTTACGAGTCAATAGATTATGCCTAATGGTGCTGTCTTTATATGCTCTTGTCACACAGATTGCTAACATATTTATATCAGATTTTTCACTACCAAGGTGATATTTAATTAAAAAATATATATATATTTTTTAAATCACATGACATTGACATAGGCCTATATTTTTATGCATCCCTTTCTAATGAGTCATACACCATAAAGTAATTTACAATATGCTGCTTATTGTGGTTAATAGTAAAAGACAATCTTTAAAGATTGAAAATCAATTTTTAAAGAGCACCTGACCAGCCATAAAACCTGCAATATTCTCATAGAGGAAATGACATTTTTTTTCCAAATAAGCATTATAGGAAAAAATAAACCAGACAGTACGTGTGATGTGATTCTTTTTTGTTCTAGATGAGGGGCATGTCAACTTCCTGTTTGTCTGTGATATTTGAAAAGAGTACGGTGACTATCACACTATTTGTGTAAATAGGGAAGTGGTGACAGAAAGTCAGGCGTCATCATGTGATGTTACCCATCCCCTCCCTCCACAAACTTTCGGTCATGAAACAGAAAGCAGTATGCTGAAGGGGATATCCAATATACATTTCTTATAACTACGTCTGTTTATTACACTTCATATTACATATGGCAAAATATATATTTCTTTCATTTGAAAGAAAAGTCCCTAAAATTTTGCATTGCTTGCTATGGCCCAAAAAATATTTGAGCAAAAAAAAAAAAAATGTGTGTGTACATATATGTATGCTATATATATATGATGCTATAGCATCATTTATCAGAAATTTTTAACCATTTTGTTTTTAAATTAACAGAATATCAGTTGTTTTAAAGGTAGCACTTTAGCTTAGGAATCATTTCTCACTATTAACTAGTTAGCATGCATATATTACTAGCATATTGACTGTTTATTAGTACTTATAAAGCATATATTCGATCTCTTAATCCTACCCCATAACTAAACTACCTTACTAACTATTAATAAGTAGCAAACTAGGAGTTTATTGAGGCAAATGTCATAGTTAATAGATATTTAATTGTGCAAATTTGTCCCCAAACTAAAGTGTGACCATATTAACATTTAAAACTTAACAACCATCTTTTTGTTAAATAGTTTTGCTGCAGAAGTGTTACTTCCTTTTAAATAAATGTCACTTGGCTTCCAAATAAATCTTTCAGGCCTCCCCAAACTAAAAACAAAAACAAAAACACAACAACAACGAATGACTTTCTATTTACAGTTGTGTTTATTAAGTTATTAAACGGCTCTTAAAAATGAACATCCAGACAATCTGGATCTCACGTTTTTTTAAGTCCATCATTAATTTGCCATTCAGAAATGAGTTGATGCATCCAGGCAACACAAGCCAAACTTTTTATATCACTTGTTGACCTCCTGAAATAATATCCAAATGAGAAATCTTAGTAAAAAATTTAAATGGCTAGGTGTGTTATACATATTATTGTGAGAATATCCCATAAGTTCCCCACTGGACACAAAAACAGTGGGATTTACATTTGCTCTGTACGTTGTATGTTTACAGATCATTTCATGTCCATGAAATTGTTGTTGCTCATTGAGTAATGAGTTAATATTAAAGAATTAAAATGTCATTAGTATTATTCCCGAGGCATTTCATGCTAACCAGATTTGACACTCATCAAAGTAATAAAGTTAAATAAGGTCCATATGGTGTTCCTGTGGTTGCAGCACGTTTGAGATCTCCTGTGGTTCATCACAGGTGAGCTGTACAGAAAGCTCATTTGTCTTTGTATGTCCCACAGCCACACAGAACAATAGAGCAGTGCAATACAGTACATATAAACAATAGCTTATTCAAGCTTTTTTGTGGATCACAATGTCCAGTGCAACCCAAGTCCAGGCCTGAATCTCCACAAAGCCAGATTACTCCACGGCCATCTTGTCCATTGCTCCAACAGTCCCTCAGATGTGTTTGGAGTCCTAAAGTCCTTCATTCAAGATGTTCTCAGACCTTAATCCGCTGTGAGACTGATTCCAGGAGTGATCTGTACATGTCCGAGCGAAGAAACCTGGGATAGGAATCCCTCTCCATAAGACCGTAGACAATCCTCTGAGCTTCATCGAAACACACTCTGGTGGGAGCTTGGACGTTCTGCTTGATAAGATCTCTCGTGACGTGGTCGATGTTTATCTGAGGAGAGAGTGACGGAGAATCATGTTGACGTTGATCGATTACTCTATCGATTAATAAAACCACATGGAGATCTTCTTCGGTGCACACTGTTCTTACCTCTTTGGGAGCTTCTGCCTTGATGTAATGCTCGAATATCTTCTTGGCCCTTGAGGGTAGTCTGGAGGAACTCCTGATTTTTTTGAAGTCTTCGCATACCAGCCAAAATTCAATGTTCTCATCGCTGAACTCAGATTTGAGGAAGGTGTGGAATGTTGCCATGCCATCTATAAGAACAAACCGCAGGGTTAGTCTGTTGCTCAATGTGAGTGCATCTGATTTACGTCAGTGCAGCAGCCACTGGGTCTCAGTAAGTGTTCGGACACTCTGAAAACTGAATTTCATCGCAGTGGATACAAAAAGAGAATAAAAAATATCAAGTGGCAGCTACAAAAAAAAAAAGTGCTTTTCTCAGAACCAAACCATTTTTAAAATGAATTTTAACCAACTGGTGTCAAGGTGCTTGATCTTTATAACAAATAAACATCTTTGCTTGATATTCAAATGTATTCCATGCTTTGAGATATTTTTGCTCTCTCTCACTATGTACATATATACTATATACAGTAGAAGGGAAAAAAAAGATCCAAACCAAGAAATGTATGTATGCAAATATGATCTCTAAAAAACAAACTGAAAGCCAAAAGCAGCTTCGGTTTTACAGCAACTATTGGACATTAAAAAAACATTAGACCATTCAAAACTTTGTGGTCCATCGATTTAAAAAAGAGTTTTCTTTTTTTTTTAAAAAAGGCTGCATTTATTTTATAAAAATACAGTAAACGTAATAATTGTGAAATATTATTGCAATTTAAAGTAACTGTTTTCTTTTTGAATATATTTTAAAATATAATTTATTCTTGTGATAGAAAGCTGAATTTTCAGCAGTCTTCAGTGTCACACGATCCTTCAGAAATCATTCTAATATGCTGATTTGCTACTCAAGGAACGTTTATTATTATTATTATTATTATTATTATTATCATTGTTGAAAACAGTTGTGCTGATTGATATTTTGCGAAAACCATGATACTTCATTCTTTGAAAGCATTTTTGGATGAACAGAAAATAAAAAACAGCATTTATTTCAATATCTGTTATAACAAATGTCTTTACTGTCACTTTTGATCAATTTATTGCACACTAATTAAAAGTAAATTTTTGAATTATTATTATTTACATTTTTATGTGTGGCTTATGTGTCCAAACTGCTTTAGTAAAACGGAAGCTGCTTTTCTCTACTCTTTTGCATACATATACCACTAGTTCAGGTCAGTTGCTTGATCCAGCTATCTGACCATCTAGCAAACAGTGTAGGCTTTGTTTGTACATTTTTGCCCTGACCTACATAACATCAATTAAAACCACAATGGAAAAGAAGTGTTCGTGAATGCTATTGTATTTATGAATACAAAATCCATACAAGTATGTGTGCATAATGTCACGACTTAGATTCAATAAGTAATTATGTGTATGCCACTTACATTTGGATCTAAGAAGGTTTTCCAATGACTGGGACCACAGCAGAGTCTCACTAGGGTTCAATCTGTTTGAATAAAGCATAATGAGTGGATGTTCAAATGCAATCCTAACACAATAGTGATTATACGAGAAAAACTATAGCTTACTTGTCTGTCAACAGGCAACGAAACCGCCACTTGTCTTGTCTCCTGAGGAGGGAGAATTTTTTTTTTCAGTTAAATTTGTGTGACAAAAGCACCAGTTCCATGATATACATGCTGTTTTTAACTCACATTTCAAAAGTAACTGCAACAATAAACAACACTTACCTAGGACTGACTGGTTTATCCTCCTTGTTCATGTTCTTTATTTCAGTTGAAGATGATAATATAGTTGGCATCGTAATAACTTTTCTGGTGCTGATATGTGTTGGCGTGCTGTTGTGCTTCGGTTATTCCAGTTAATAAGAGCGGGCTGTTCTCACAACTCTTTTTATACCGTCTTGTCTTGGCGTCACTTAACCACAATGAAAGAGGAAGTTTTTGGGGTGACGCTAACTAGCTTAGACAGGCGCAATAGTGTTTCTGTCTATGAAAGCAGCTACAGCACAGCTGTGTAGCTGCAGAGATGCAAATCAGACTGGAAAGTTCACGGGCAGATAAGCAAATGCTGACTTTTGCATCAGATCTCTTGTATACAAGCTCTGTGTTTGTGTTTCGCCAACAAACAATGGCTGTGCTTTTTTGATATGCACGTCTTGTTTGCAAGTGTTATTGCTTTTTCCATCTTTAATATACTTTGGTGTATTTTAGTAAATTGGCCATCTGAACTGATGGCTACAATAGCCAACTGTATGACACATTCAACGTGTTGAAAAAAAAACAATTTAAATAGTGCCAAGATATTTTGTTGTATCATATTTTCAATCCTTAAAAGAGTAAAACTGTATTTAATGTTCAACAGGCATCTGAAAGTAACCAGAAGACACTTTTCGCCCACCATATAGTTTCAGAAAACCTTGCAAGTGTTAATAGTGTCTTTGTAATAGGTGTCAAGTGATATCTTGTTGTAGCTAATCAAAATAACTTTTAATAACCATTTAGCATCCTTATGCTAAGCTAGAGGATAAGTGAAGGAGTTGCAGACACATAACGAAAGAAAAAGTTTGGTTACAAGCATGCATGATACCATTGCTGTCCCAAAACAGTCAATTAAACATGAATTAGGGAAGCTTTTTCCAAATGCAGCTTTCAAACAGGGCAAAATCCCAGTTTTGCAATCTCTGTTTTGTTATCTCAAGGTATCTCAAGATACTTATTTGCTACTGATACCAGAGACTATTGTTGGGAAAAAGTTACTTTTAAAAGTAATGCATTACAATACTGGATTAGTTACTTATTTAGTTACTTTTTATGAAAAGTAATGCTTAACGTTACTTTTGCATTGCTTTTTCTCATCTGACCTGGGCTTGCGTGTTTGATTTTAACATAAAAAAAGTTATATTTATGGCAGAAGTAAAAGCCCTTTCACACCAAATGTGAAATGAATGAGCTTCAGGCTGAAGGAAATGTAAATTCAAAAAGCTCAAACAAACCTTTCAGCTGTGCTGCCATTCTGGATTGCATGAAGAATAGGACAAAAGAGAAGAAAGACAACAATCACTAAAAACGTAGCTTATTAGTATGGATGAATAGGCTCATTGAAGGTCAGCAACAAAGACACTTTAAAGGGATACTCCACCCCAAAATGAAAATTTTGTCATTAATCACTTACCCCCATGCTGTTCCAAACCCCTAAAAGCTTTGTTCGTCTTCAGAACACAATTTAAGATATTTTGGATGAAAACCGGGAGGCTTGTGACTGTCCCATTGACTGCCAAGTAAATTACACTGTCAAGGCCCAGAAAAGTATGAAAGACATCTGCCGATTCCTCTCAGCATGGGCACAGGAGAGCTGTCAGCCAATGAATGGTAAAACAAAGTAACTGGCATTACTTTGGAAAAGTAGCTTAGATATTTTCTTGTAAAAAAAAAATTGATGTGTTAATTTACTAGTACTTTACTTGAAAAGTAATCTGATTACGTAACTTGTGTTACTTGTATTGCGTTACCCCCAACCAGGGGCATAGCAATAGGATATAAAGGGGGCAGAGTGCATAGAGTCCAGAGACTGAGAGGGGAACTGAGGGCCCCCCACCAATGAAAGTGATTTTGAGGGGCTCCATAGCAAATTCTGTGCAATGGGCCCAGAATCCCTACCGAATCCACTGCCCCCAACACTGCCAGAGACCATGGTTAGCACAAGTAAAAACAAAAACAGATAATTAGCGAATCCCTGGAGTTGCAGGGATATTTGCTTGTGGTTCGTAAGAAATCTGATTTTGCAGAAATCCAAGTAAAATTGCAAAATAAACGGTCCCAAGGGTTAGGGATTTTTGCTAAGGAAAACAATGTATTGTCTAATGAGACATGTCACTTTAACACAACAGAAAGCCCCATTCAAGTCAACGGTATCACTTCTGCTTCCTGAGACTTCACTTGTTATGACAAACATGTATATATAGGCAAAATATATTTCAAATATATACTAAATATATGCTGTAAGCAGCATGTTTTATGTTATTGATTTTGGTATGGAAAAATACCAAAACATATTGCAAATTGTACTTGAAGGGACAACAGAATGCATTTAAAGTCATAAAATACATTCAGGCTGTCCATAGGCTTCAGCATCCCTGCGTCCCTTCAAGAGGTTTGTATATCATGAGATGTAGGCCTATATCATGAACAACAGGCACACGGCAGCTTCTGCATGTTTATATTCAAATCTCTCGCATGCATTTAATATTTGCTTGCTTTACTGCACCTGTTCACATGTAACAGGCTATGATTAGAGAGATTATTGGAGCAAGAACTGTGTTTGCATCACATTTGTGCTCGTGTTTACATCCTTAAACTATGCAAGTATAAAAATACAAAAATATGACGTGAATTTAGATGTGTAGAGAGCATGATGATTAAGCTTTATTGAAATAAATGCTTCAATCTGTTGACATACATTCACACTGAGTGACAGGCAAGGCCAGCAACGGCAGTCATTTGTGAAAAAGAACTGAAATGACACCAGAGCTTACATTTTACAGCAGCTCACTACTCAAAGCCAACACCAAACAGCATCTGATACACTTTTTATCTCTATAATACAATGCATTACAGAGTGAAACAGGATATTTAATGCTTGTGCGTCAGGATATTTAATCCCTGTGCGTCAAGTTACACAGAGGTCCTTAGAGGACACACTTTCACTGACATAGATCCCCCCCCAACATCAGTCCTGATCATAACTACCAAATATTCATTAATTTTTAAGGTTTTAACCCCTTTAAATTCCATTTTGTTTACATAATGCCACTGTTTTAGGGGGGAAATTAATGAATTAATTATTCTCCATAAACTAAATTCTAAGCAGATTTTTGGGGGATTATTACAGTCTTGGATAAGTCAGTAATTAGAAACAACATTAGCTTTGTGCAGTGTCAGCCAAAATGATCAGAAAAACAAAAATGAAAAAGACAAAAATGACAGTGTTAATAAAAAGAAAATGGAGAGAATGTCTTTAAACCTGAATGTTTGAACAGTAGCTACAATGCCAAACATATTTTTTTGTTAATTAATATAATTTTTTTCCTGCCTGTGTGGTCTAGGTAAATTCAGCTAAAAAGTAAAAATGACAAACATGTAATGATAGATCAAAAATATGTATTATGAAACCAAATGTTGATATTTCATGGGGAATAATTTTGTTAAGGTGCTGTCACCAGGTTTGTAGTGTGTGGGTTTTAGACCCTGCAGCACACGCATACCTTTGTACATTCTATATGTGGTACTGATGTTTCCATTGTGGAAATGGAACTAAGCGTTATTTGGTGTGACCTTGCACATGGAAACTGACATGCATCTTGAATAACAGTACATGATTTTTATGTAAAGGGCACCAAGATGTCCTTAACATGAGACAAAACTTCACATCATGCTAGAGTCAGTCCTCATCACTTTGTTGCTTTAAAATTACAGCACAAGGTATTCTCGTAAACCTACATGCATAATATAATAAGCAAGCATCATCGTTTGGGAAATTTTGAAATTTTTTTCAGATGCTTTAACTTTCATACATCTCACAATTTACATCCTAATGTGTACACAGTCATTTCCTCTCGTGTACCACTAGTTAATCAAGAATGAGAGCTGAGAAGAGAATGACTAAAAATGAAAGTGTCAGACAGGAAACAGCAACTGCAACTCCATTTGCCTTTGGATTTAGATTAGCATTACCACTGTGACTTGTCCTTGCCCTCTTCAATAGCATTTATTGTTTGTTATTTCTCACAAAATCCAGCGTCTTCTCAGAACTTCAGTGATTGTATCAGGTAGAACAAACTAAATGAGCAGATGGAGTCACATTTCTGGTATCAGATGCGATTTGCATTGAATCGTCCATTACACAGTATCAAACAGTTTCACGACAATGTTCTTGCCTAAGGCATAAGCATGGAAATGTTCTCTGTACTTGATGCAAAGCAGCACTCTCTGTACACGTGCGGTGAGAAAATATCTAAAACATTACATACAGATGTGTTGTGTTTACTGAGGCAGGTATCACTATTACTATTGTTCAGTGTCTAGAGGTTTGTTAAAATAAAAAATATGAAACTTCAGCCCATAACCCACAAATATAGACTAATGGTTTTGCCTGGCAGACAATAACACAAGCAAAATAACTAATTGAAAGAAAATCCGATAGACTAGTGTGAGGCCATACGCTGATCAGCCACATCTGAATGTGTCCTGTGATTTCTGGCACCAAGACATTAGCAACAGATCCTTTAAGTCCTGTAAGTTTTAAGGTGGGGCCTCCATGAATCTTGTATTTGTCGGTCCAGGGTCCAGATCATGGGAACTCTGGACCTACGCAGCCCCATACGCAGCAAACTGCAATGCACTGTCTTCTGACACCTTTCTATTCTGGCCAGAATTAAGTTTTTCAGCAAACTGACCTTTTTAGGCAGTGGTCCTTTGATTTCTGGTACCAAGATATTGGCAGCAGATCCTTTAAGGCCTGTATGTTGTAAAGTGGGGCTTCCACGAATCTTGGATTTGTCGGTCCAGGGGACCTATGCAGCCAAATACGCAGCAAACTGCAATGCACTGTGTCTTCTGACACCTTTCTATTCTGGCCAGCATTACGTTTTTCAGCAAACTGACCTTTTTAGGCATTGGTCCTTTGATTTCTGGTACCAAGATATTAGCAGCAGATCCTTTAATTCATGAAAGTTGCAAGGTGGGGCCTCCATGGATCGCATTTGTCTGTCCAGCACATCCCAGAGATGCTCAATTTGAATGAGATCTGGGGATTTGGAGGCCGAGGCAACACCTTCAACACTTGACATGTTCCTCAATCCATTCCTGATCAAGTTTTTGCAGTGTGGCGGGTGCATTATCCTGCTGATCAGG